TTAACATTTTCCTTTCAGTACAGAGTCAACGCTGTTTACATTTAACAGGTAGGCCCTCGCCTACTTTTGTGGGCTCTGGTTCCAAATTTTATTTTTAGAGCTTTTTCTGGGCTGTTTTGGTCTGTTTGATGCTTGTTGCCCCACTGCTCAGGGCCTGTACCAGCTGACAGGAGGAGATGAGGGCCCTGGCCAGCGCCATCTGCTGCCTCTACATGGGAGAAAGGAATTTTCAAAGTCTCTGTCCCCTAAAGAAGAGCATTTCCCAGGCCTGATCATTTGCTGTGGTGGCATCCTCCTGGAGCTGCTGCCAGCCAGCTGGTGTTTCTAGAAAGCAGAGGTGAGTCTCAAGCCCAGGGGGAAAGAAAGCTCCTTCCTTATATGGTTCTTGTTTGCAGAGTCTCCTGTTTGTCCTGATACCTGTGACCAGCTGATGCTGGCAGGGGGACTCTTGTTCAGTGAGGGAATCAGGCTGAGATACTGAGGGGGGAGGCGTGAGGGAGAGATTGGGTGGGGGGCAAAGAGTCTTATGCTGAAGCTGTTCTCCCACCTGGAAGGAGAAATCAAAGAGAACAAGAACTTCCCCTTGGAGAGGGAAACTAACAGGGCACAACCTAGACCAGGGCCGAAAAAGACCTTCTTGGATCAACCATGCAGATAGCGAGAAAACTAAGAATATTATCGTTTCTGTTTTAAAATTGGATCTCTAGAGAGATGGAAACAAGAGGGAGAGGCAGCCCTAACCGTGAGTAGGAGGCTTCCAGGTGATGGCAACCCCAGCGGGAATCAGCTCACCTCAGGAAACTCTCCCAGAGCAGATAAAGACTGGGCCGAAGCAGGACTCTTCATAGGTCCAAGTGGCTGATTGTGCAGCCACTTTTATGAGCACCTTGGGGGCCCCAGTGGTTATTGGGGCTCTCATGTTAGACCTGACTTTGCCAGCTCTGGGGCCTTGAGGAGCGGCGCCACCGGCCACCGAGGTCTCCCCCCTCAGCCCTCACCAGCCTGGGACCGGGGGTCAGGACGAGGCTGGTGTGGGGGAAGCGCGGGGCAGGGCTTTGCACCGCGGGCCCAGAGCAGCCTTGGGGAGCCGGGCTCCTCTGCTGGGGCCCATGCCAGCCCCTGGGGGCTCCCGCACACCCCACACATTGTCTCTGACTTTCCTTCCCGCCCATGATCCATAATCCTACCTGGCCCTGAATCACCCTGAACTTCCTCTAGGTCGGGTGGCTTGTTGCTCTCACCAAGCTTTTAAACTGAAACCACAGAGTGCCTCACGGGGAAGCTCATCCTTGCGCTCCTTTGATGGGGCAGGAATTACCTGCCACAGATTCCCGAGACTCCACATAAAACCCCCGCTCTGGGCAGCAGAGCTGGCATTCCCTCCCTGCCGGGACCTGCCCCCTGCCCCACTGGCTGGCTCGGTGCCATGCACGTGGACACGGGCAGTGCCTGGAGTTTCAAGCAGGACACTTGTTGCTTCTAGAAAGAGCCTCTTCTCTGGCCGAGAGGGTGGGTTTGTGAATGTTTTCCCAGGAAGCAAGCAGAGAAACGGGAAAGTTCTCCAAAGACACTGGCCATCCTGGGGGCCCTGCGGAGGCCGAGCAGAGCGGCCTCTGGAGGGACTTCCTTGCCGGGTCAGGGCTGAATCACCGGGACACACATGCACAGGGAGGGGCAAAAAGTGAAGGCTTTATATTTCCTCTCAGGGACACAGCTCCCAGCTCACCTGCCCAACTGTCCGCTGCCCGCCGGAAAGCAACCCAGGTAAAGAGGATTTCTGCCCTTATTATTCAGCGGTGCTTGTTGTCAGAGGAGAAGAGAGAGCAGGGACGAGCGGGGCCTGGACAGGTGAGGAGGGAGTCCAGTGAGGAGGCACCTTCTTCTCTAACTGAGAGTGACTTTTCTTGACTCCTGATGAGCAGGTGAGCAGGTTTGCTGCTGCATGAACCGCCATAGGGAGCGTTGAGAATCCTGGAGGCAGTCACTGGACTTCGCATCTCTAATGTTGATCAAAATGGAACACTGTTGAGATTTTCTACTTACTGGTCATAACCGTTACTCCAAACAGAGCTCACCGTGCAGAGCTGTGGTCTCTGTGAGGGGCAGCTCTGCTTAGTTTCCTCCTTCTCGCCTCCTCCGCGAGTGCTGTCTGGCTACCTGACCCAATCATGCCGTAGCAGCCAACCTTCTCTTCTGTGGTCTCACTAACACAAGGAAACGCCGCATTTCGCACTCCGTTTTTCAGATTGGTGTGCGCGCAGTTTCCTAAACTGGAGACCTGCCTGGATATCTCGCCTGTGCGGCTCACTGCACCTAGAAGCCAGGGCTTCGGATGAACCGCTCTGTGCCTCATTTCCATCATCTGTAAAATGAAGAACGGGCCTCCCCGAGGTGTTCAGAACAGGATCCCCCAAGATGTACCACTTGGGCACATGGATTATTTTGAGCTGAAACCAATAGAAGCCTCCAGACTCGCAAGAAATTTTATTAGTCCCTTAACTCCCTATGAGAACACAAACCGAGACGTCTTACCCAGATTTAGGCTATTAGCAGAGTCACTACTATAAGCAGCATCTACTGACAGAGCAGTGGGTCTTTGCCACGTGACTCACTCTCCCTTCATCAGTTGAGCCCCTTCCTCTCTTCTTGCAACCCCTGGTCCCTGTCCCACGCCTCAGCTCAGGATATGTACCCCAGCTTGCTGCCCTGTCTTTGGAAACCTCACAACTGTGTGCACTCCTGTGAGGTTAGAGGAACATCTAGTAACTTCGACTAAAGGAACATGGAGTGACCCGGGCTCTTTTTTACCTTCTGGAGCCCTGCCAGAGGCTTAGCAGACTCAGCCAACACGGCAGGTAGCCCCAACCTTGCTAATACTCCCCCTGGGCAATAATGTGCCCGTTGTGGAGCTCTGAGCAGAGCCTCCCTGTAGCTTGCTGCCCTGCGGCCCCCCATGTTCTAGCCTTCTGTTGCAGCAATAATAAAGACCTGTTCCTGCCCCCTACGTGTGGGGTTCATGACCTGCTTTCACATCTGCCGCCATTGAGAACCAAGCAAGCTTGAAGCTGCAGCCCCACAAGTCCCCAAATGTATGAAATTAAATTATTTTTTTCCCCTATCAACTTCTCTGGTGTTCATTTGATCATTCAATCAGCGCAAGGAGAGCCCAGAGGGGTAGGGGAAAATTCCCCTCCTGCCCCACATAGGGTATTTAATATTATCCTGCCTATAAGAATGCCGTGTGTGGGGAGAAAGAGGCCTCAGTCATAATAAAAGTAACTATTGTACTCAACGTACACTTTTTTCTCATTGTTTTCTTATAGGCGCCTGACCATCGTCCAGCCCAGGAGCCCAGAACTGGAGCTAAAGACAGGGGCAATTCTGGTGGCACAAACCACAGTTGACCCTTGAACAACGTGGGTTTGACTTGTGCGGATCCACTTTTTTTCTACCCATGGGTTCCACATCCAGGAATTCCGCATCCACACATTCAGTCAGCCGCAGGTGTCGGTGGCTGAGCCCCAGATGTGACCTGCGTGGATGCAGAGGTGACTGAAAATTCCAGGGAGGTTTGTGAATGTGTAGGTTGGACCCCCAGCCCCACCCCACCTCCCACATCATTCAAGGGTCATTTGTTTTTATTTTTGTTTCATGTTTATGTTTTTATGTTTTAGAATGTTGTTATGCAAAATGGCCCCTATTAGCATGGATGGTTCTTATTGCACACATGTTAACACTGCAAAGCACTTGAGCTTCCCTGAGACCTTCAAACCTGGAATTAGCTGCAAGGAGGCAGGCAGTTAACAGGACAACCTCTCTCATGAGACAGTCTTTCAGGAAATCAAATGACCCCTGTTCTCCACATATTGCTGAACACCTTATTGGTTCTCAAGTTATTTTCCTGGTTATACAGAATAATCACAAGGAAAGTGATCATTTCAGAACCTAAAATTTGGTTGTGTGGTGCTTCAGGTGGGATAACTCGTCACCCAGAGATAAAAGATTTTTTGTAAGGGTTCGTTCTGGGTGGGTGTAGCTGGGGAAGGATGAGGAAGTTGGAATTTTATCTTTATTATCATTGGCACTAAGCACCTACATGAATGTCTTGTGAGTCAAATTAGCACCATCTCTGCAGGTCCAGTATTTTTTCCTGCGCTTATTATAACATTGATCAAGTCTTAACTCATGAATTCATGCTTATGTAGGAGTTTGATTGGGAAATCACAAGTTGATTGACTTGTAACAGCACCCTCGTTGAGAGAGAAAACACAGCGAGCAGAGGGTATATATTCAGAATCACACCATTCACTGCACACAGCTTGCAGCTCCCTGCTCACCTCTGCTTCCTCCAGGTACTCAGGTAAGAGTTTCTACCTGCTCCCACTTAAGAACATGGGCCATTTTTGAAATTAAGAATGATGTGTTTACATTGTGCATGTGTTTTATTCTACATGATTTCATTGTAGTTCATCGTCACTTCTGATTTTGTTACTTCTAATTTCTGGGCAAAATTTACGTATCTTGTTCATCTTATTTGTCCTTTAGCAGATTTTTTTTATTTCCCAGTCAGCAAATGTGTTCTTAGGAACACTGTGAATGGTGACTGACATCCCCCTGGTCTGGGAGAAAAGACAGGGATGCTCAGGAGAAACAGTGGGGTGCCTGCCCCTTGGGTCCTGGGCTGTGTCTCTGTCCTAAAGCCTTTTCTACACAGAACTAGTGCAACCAGTTACCCAGGCAACATTAAGATGTCTATTCCTTTTTCACAGAAATCTTTTAAAAGGAATAATTTTGCTAATCTAGTTATTAGAGTAATACCTGCACATGATGGAAGATTTGAAAAGTTAAAAGAAAAAAAAAAAACTTTAGCTGCTAGATAGAGTAAGTCAAATATAAATAGTTTATTCCAAGAAAATTTCATCGCCCGGTAGCCGCTCGATGACATATTTTATCATGAATCTCCTGCTTCCCCAGGTGTTCCAGATCACCCCAAGGTCACCATGAGCTCACTCAGGTGTGAGTTTGCTGTCAATCTATTCCAACAGATGAGAAAGTCAGAGGAGGGAAATATTTCCGTTTCTCCCCTCAGTATTGCATCAGGCTTAACCATGATCTGCTTAGGGTGCAAAGAAAAAACTTCATCAGAAATTCAGGAGGTAAGTGACGGCTTCCTTGACATTGACCAGTTCGGACTGGCAGCTCTGTGGCTGGGATGTTATCATCTGATAACAGACCTGGCATTCCCCTGGGTGCCCTGGAGGCTGAGCAAGCTTCCCCATGACCATGACCTGGTGAGCACCGAGCTGTGTGAGGGGGCACCCTTCCCCCAACTCCCCGGCCCCAGGTGCCTCCCTGAGCTGAGATAGCCCATTGGGTGCTGGGATTGCAATTGCCCAACCATCAGAGTGAGACCCCATGGAAGAAGGGCGAATCTGACCAAAGTCCAAGGGACAGAATCCTCCCATTTCCTCAGCAATGAATAAATGCTTCTCGGAAGCAGTTGACCATAACTCAGCTTTGTTGTAGTTGTCCAAGGAGCAAACGCTTACCCTGAAGATTTTGTTATTCTTCATTTTCTTTTACTTTCATGTCTTTCTTTCTTTCTTTCTTTCTTTTTTTCTGGTGTGTTTGGGGGCTTTAGGGAGCTTTGTGTTTGTTTGGGGCTAGAGTATTTTTTTAAGTTTCCTCTGATGGACACAGCTCTTTTGAGTCATTTTCTTGTTCCCTTCCTGTTTCTCCCAGGTCCTTTACCTTAAGGAAAATGAAAGATCCAAGGTGAGATTTTGTTGTTTCTTTTTAACATGAGAGTTTACCACAGTTTCCATGAGACAGAGCACCTGGGACAGGAATGTCACACAACCGAGAGGATCATAATTTAAAGTGGGAATTCCCCCAAACTCCAGAAAGTCCATGTTTATAAGTACTCTTGAGCAAAGTAGATTGTATAAACAGAGTCATTTCTCGTTTCCTTTTACATACTCATTTTTTCACATTTCTTCCCCCGAGAGGAAGGCAGCATTTTGTTGAAGAGCGTGAGTTTAGGAACCAGAAGTTCAGTTTCAGGCTACTGCCCTGCTGTCCAGGAAGGGTGACCATGGGAAACACCACTGCCCTGAGCCAGAACCACTCACCCCAATAATCCAGGGCTAATAAAAGATCTACTTTGATAGATGCACATTTCGGCACGGGCCTGAGGACTGGAAAGACTCATGCATGTTATGTATCATTATCATAGATCAACAAGGATTATAGCGATCAGAATCATGTTGCTAAAAGTAAATAATTTTAATTAATTCAAATAATATTAATAGGAATAAACATACATTGAAGTATTTTGGGAAAATGACTATAGAAGATGGATAATAGCAAGTGGAAGTTTCTAGATTCAGACAGACCTGGGTTCAGAAATTGGCTCTGATATATTACATCTGCTTGGAGAAGTTATTTAATTCTCTGAGCTTTCTGGCTTTTATCTGAATTGGAGGAAAGTCTTAAAGACTCTGATGTAAAGACCTTTGCAGTGTCCCTGCCTTGGCGTCCCACCAGCACCAGTGAAGAGCCATGCATCAGCTGGTCACAGGAGATAGTGCCAGGAGGGAGTATAATGGGGTTTTGTTTTTAAAACAATGCAAAGTTAACTACTCACACCAATGATGGCTATCAGAAAATGGTTCCAGCCCTTAAAGAACTTAAGTTTAGCTAAACCGAACCATTAAAACCAATTCAAGGATATCCCAAAAGGGCCTCCCTGGTGGCACAAGGGGTTAAGACACAGCACTGTGAAGCTATCTGCAGCCACTGCAGCAGGACTTCGACCCTCGGCCAGGGAGGTGACCCACATGGCGCGGCAGACCTCTCCTGTCTCGCCTGCTGCTCCCCTCAGCAGTGTATTTCAGTGGATCTGCCTGCTCTAGTCCCCATTTTTTATCTGGTGAATCCTCTCACCACCACCACCACCCTGCACCTCTGGCCTGTACCCCAGTTCTTGTATGCATAAATAAGCAAATCCTTAAAAAAAAGGAAAAGAAGAAAAACCCAATAGTAGAATGGAGCCGTAGCTACAGTTAAAGAGAAAAGAGGAAAGATTTAAAGGACATTTGAGCTAAAATATACCAAATTTGGGGGAATAACAACTAACCTTATCTGTTCCTTACCAAAATGTAGATATGGATCTAACAGACTTACATGAATTTAGATTTATATTGACAGATAATTCAATGGCCTCACTCTTTGATATTTGAAGGTTGAAAAGTTGGAAAATGTACATCTTCACTTTCAAAAATTTCTGGCTAAAGAAAATCAGCCCAATGGTGCCTATAAGCTAAAGATCGCCAACAAGCTCTATGGAGATCAGAAGATTCAGTTTAATCAGGTAAGTCCCACTGGTTGGCCACACCTTTAATTTACTCTCTGGGTTTTCCTCCTGCACTCACTAGATGAGGGGAATTGGGGGGCAGTAGGGACAGTGAGTAAGTAGCCTGGCTAACTCACATGGGGCGCTCCCCCCAGGGAGCACCAGGCTCCTAAGCCCACTCCACCCACTGGACTGTCCCAGACAGAACCTGGTCATCCGCAGGAAGTGTGAGGTTAGGGGTTGTCGTATGTACAATATTTGATCATGATTGAACATAACTTAATTTGCAATCCCATAGTTACTGATAAACTACTCTTAATTCCTCCTTCTTTCTCCTTTACTGTGTCAAAGGAATTCTTGGAAAACATTAAGAAATTTTACCTAGCCAGCTTGGAAGCTGCCAATTTTACAAATGCTGCAGAAGAAAGTCAAAAGACAATTAATTCCTGGATGGAAAGTCAAACAAACGGTACAGTAGGAGAGGCTTAAGAGCACCAAGTCTCTGCTGTATGGGAAGCCTTGGCACCCCACATGGTGTGCCAAGCGGGGCAGGGATGACATGAGTGTGCAAAGAGGACAGGGGAAGGCCCTGGAATGGGTCTAGGAGCCAAGCAAAGCAAGGAGACCCCAGAAAGGATATCAAGATACATGGCAACAGCTGTCCATCCGGCCTCGCACGTGGTCATGAGTAAATGTGTTTTTATGTATCCCAGTTCTCTGCTCAGACCCCATCTGTCTTGATGTCCATCTCTTACTTTAAATATGAAGCTTAACTCTGGAATTATATCCCTAAGAGAAAATATTACAATATTAGAAAAGCGTCCACTTCTGTTAACTGAGAAAAAACAGCTCTCCTACAATGAGCTCCCCTCCGTGGGACCTGCAGCTGGAGCTGCCCACAGCCCTTCTCCCTCCCCATACCCTATGGGGATGATCTCAGCTGTCTTCCCCAATCCCAGCAGAGAGCTTGGCAAAAAAAATTTCTACCCTAAAATTTATATCCTACCTCTCACTCTGATTACAGCCAACCTACAGCAATTCCAAGTGGAGAATGAAGAGGATGACCCCCAGAAATGGTGGGGGGACAGTGCCGAGCATGTGTATCAGATTACAGAGTTTACATATATGTGAATTCTGTGTTCAAAAATATGTATCTTCAAGAATATGCAGGCCCTGTTTCCACTGAGTAGTGAGCCAAAATGTGAAAAAAAAAAAAAAAAACCACCAGAATAATCAATGACCATTGTACCTTTCAAAGCATCTTGCAGACAAACCACTGTGCTCTTCATGACAGTCCTTTCTTTTTTTCTTTTGCAGAAAAAGGCAAGATTGTTTTTCCTAAAGGTTCTCTGAGCAACACCACTCTCCTGGTTCTGGCGGATATAGCCTATTTCACAGGAGAATGGGACAAGAAATTTGATGGGAAAATGACTGAACAGGGTGAATTTTGGCTAGCCAAGGTACTGTCGGGAATTAATTTATCCAATTAATGCAGCTAAATCTGGAGTGTTGAATCTAAACACACCTTTGACCAAAGTACAACTGCAAGGGGGAGAATAGGATTCCCCGTGGCTGCATTTCTTGGGAGTTTTTTTAAACTTCATTTAGTTGGATTACTTGAAGGAATGTCCCAATTCACAAATTTCCCAGGTTATCACTTAGAAGAAAGATGTATGGGGTATGTCTATAACATTACCTTCTTTTTTTAAAACTTGGCTTCTTTGGACATCTGTTTGTGGCGTTCATTTTCTGCAGGATAAGAGCAAACGTGTGCAGATGATTAAACAAACCAACTCCTTTAATTTCTCCTCACTGGAAGACTTGAAAGTGAAGATCCTGGAAATCCCATACAAAGACAAAGAACTAAGCCTGGTGTTGCTTCTGCCCAATGAAGTAGATGGTCTGAAAAAGGTACAATCTTGTACAGTTGACCCTTGAGCGATGCAGAGATTAGGGCATCAACCCCCACACTCTCAAAAATCCAAGTATAACTTCTGACTCCTCAAACGATTATGAGGAGCTTGCTACCTGATCAGAAACCTCATCAAAATATAAAAAGCCAATGAACACACATGTTATATGTTATATGTATTATACACTATATCCTTATAATAAAGTAAGTTAGACATAAGAAAAGATTAAGAAAGTCATTAGGAAAAAACTGCATTTACAGGGCTGTGCTGTATTTACAATGTCATTAAATTTACATCGCCTCTTTATGAGACAATTCATGTATAAGTGTACCCTTGCAGTTCAAAGGTCAACTGTAATTCCTATTCTTCTTTCTACCCCTCAGTTCCTAAGACTATGAAGTTTGTGTGGACTGTTCCTGGCAGCAGTGCTCACAGATGCTGGTGGGGTCTGGCAGTGCTCAGGAATAGAATATATCTACTTACATTCATAAAGAATATATCACTTCTTCTCTGCACACAGTTTAGGTGGTGAGCTGTAATGGAGAATCTGACATCCTGTTGGGTTAAATATCTTAAGTATCACACTTAAGTATCTTAAATGTGCTATGGAAGAATATACAGAAAATCTTAACATCAGATCCCACTAATATTCTGATGAAACAATGGGATGTCAGCTCAGAAAAAAATATACCTTGGCTCACACACTTAATATTTTGCAAGCGCAAGATCATTTGATATAGTCTAATCTATTCACTTGAAGATAAGGAATCTAAGACTCAGATGTAGGCGACACATGGAAAATATGAGTGAATTGCAAATTCACTCATTACTGAACCAAGCAAAGTAAATAGCAATGGGTACTATTTGCATATTAAATCACAGTGATATTGTGGACAGTGAACAAATAGATCTATCTTGAGCTCACTTTCCAGGTCAGAAGTATCTGTTCCTAGGAACTCAAAAGGCATTTGGAGCCTCATTCTTGAGTAAGGGAGGGCGAGGAAGGGGAAGTGAGGCAGGGGAATTTTCCTTTTAACATTGTTATAATGAATAAAAAAATAATACCAAAACCCATATCTGGATCGTAAAACATTCCAAAATGGCCATCTGCAATTATTATAATAGCCTAACAGACTATCATATTGCTGAGTTTGCAGTGAACTTGCCACACTCAAAATATATTTTGCGGGGGCCTCCCTGGTGGCGCAGCGGTTGAGCGCTGGGTTGCAAAGCTGCCCACAGCCTCTGCGGCACTGATTTGATCCCCGGCTGCTCCCCGGCCACAAGAGGAGGGTCCCACATGGCGCGCAGACCTCTCCTGCCGCCCGCTGCTCCCCTCAGCAGTGTACTTCGGTCCTTCTGCCTGTTCTGCTCCCTGCTCTGGCTCTGGTGAATTCTCTCACCCTCCTGCAATTCTGACTGTACCCAGTGCTTGTATAAGTAAATAAATAAATAAATCTTTAATATATATATATATATATATATATATATATATATATTGCGGTAACAGTAGAAATGGGAAATCCTCAGAGAAAGTGATATGGCATTACAATATTTGCACCCCAACTCAGCAGTCCATACTATCAATGGCATCAGGAACCTCAGTACTGGGATTTTATCCAAAGGTAACAAGTCAAAACAAGGCAAAGCTTTTGAAGAAGTGGCTCAAAACAATGAAAAATTCAAAACCAGGGACAATAGTGCAAGTAGTTTAACTTAGGGACTCGCACACGGTGAATGCTAACAGGACATGAATTTAGATATATGCATTCAGTATCAATTTAATGGTTGTATGTTCAAATTTAAGCTTAATTAGAGATATATATGAAAAAAAGTTTACAATAGATCAAGTGAGAGAAATGAAAAGTTTCTAAGTTATCATTGTATTATATAAAATATTAGCACAGAAGGACATTAACAAGAAAAAACTATTTAAAAATAAAATATACAGTGGGCTGGCAGTTTAAGAAATGGAGATATGCAGCTCTTCTTTCCAAACTAACTTTATTTGGTGGCGCTGTTGTTTTATATAAATAGATATACTATACACATATCTCTACTAGCCATATCCATATTACATGGAATACAGAAGTTTCAGTTCATGATATATAATACAGAAGATTCCTTTTAAAATATATTTTTATACATTGTGTATAATATGTCTAGTAAATGAAATTTGTATTTACTTTTACTGTCAAAATGAAGGTTTTCCACGTGATTCCACCTAACACTGTGTGCGCCGTCCACTGAGATCGCATCAGTTGTTCCTTTTTCCCTTTGTTACAGCTGGAAGACAACCTCACCCCTGAGAAACTAACGGAGTGGACGAGCCCCCAGAAAATGAGCCAGAGGCAGGTGAGCGTGTGCCTACCTCGGTTCAAAACGGAGGGATACTATGACCTCAAGGCCATGCTGATGGCCATGGGGATGGTGAGCGCCTTCAGCGCCCACGATGCCAACTTGGCCGGCATGACAGGAAGCAAAGGTCTCACCCTGTCTGCTGTCCTCCACAAGTGCTTTGTGGAGGTGACAGAGGGCAAGGAGGCTGCAGCCACCACCAGGGCTGAGGCGAGCGCAGAGTCCGCACAGGCCTCTGAAAGCTTCTGCTGTGATCACCCCTTCCTGTTCTTCATCAAGCACCGTGGGCTCAAGAGTGTCTTCTTCTTTGGCAGAGTCTCTTCCCCTTAGGCTCGACGGGTGGCCACTATTTTAGAGAGAGAGTCACAGGCCTGTTCCACGCCACTTCCTTTTCCTTTCCGCTCTCATCATCATTAGTAAGAGTGGGGTGGTCTCAAGATAAGATGAAAAGATATTTCAACTCTGTGTTCTCGAAATTTGAAATATTGTATCTGCTCTTTCAAAAATCATGTCTATTCTACAAATGTCTAAATCTAGACATATGTACCTCTATGGAGCTGGTTGATGCTGGGAATTTTAGATGGCTGTTCTTAATAAAATACAACTTATTCATGAAATTTTTCCCTTTTCCTAGTTTTTTTTTTTCTTTTCACCAAAGTGAAAAGAAATATATATATTTCTCTATATATATTTGCTATGTGGGGTGGGCAACTTGATATATATATATATATATATATATTTTAGATATATATATATATCTTAGATATATATCTCTTAGAAACTTTGGTGCAAATATATATGTATATAATTTAGAAATATAATTTAAAAATATATTATCATGTTAAAGGAGAAATTCAAAACAGGAGTTGGGTGTGAGGAGGCTGGAGGACAGGTTAGTCCCAGAACATGAAAGGTTTTGTCGCCTGTGTTAAAACATCCTTATTCTACATAGAAAACCATCACCAGTTTTGCTTGTTTATTTTCCAAAGAAAAGAATGAAATCCTCATGTCTACATCTTTAAAACAAATCGCTAGCTATTGTAATATAAGTGAATGAGAGAACCAGAGTTTGGACTCGAGTAAGTTAATTAATAAACCATGAGAATGTCAGGGGTGAAGACAGAGAAACAGCTAGTGTGTGAAACGTGTAGGCAACAGAAACCACAGAATTGTGGCAACATCTTACACATGGCAGAAAAGAAAGCTAGAAGCAAGAATGGTGCCAATCATTCCCCCGTACCCAACTGCTTAGATGGGAGATTTTGTTTTGGAGAGAAGAGAACATCTCCGTATGGAATTGTCTAGTAAACATCTGGCTATGCATCTAGAGCTCAGATGCAGGGTCAGAGTCGAAGCCCTAAATTTGTCAAGCTTGATATTACACTTTGAGAGTTACTCTCTTGAAGTTACTGAATAAATATGGCAACTCCAAAACTTGATTTTTTTAAGTAATGAAAGATCCTAGTGCAAGAGTAAAGATGAGAGGAAAGATCTAAATTGACCTTGTAGTACATCACTTTTATTTTCTAGAATATAGCTTTTCTAGAACAGATTAGCATTCGTTCCAAATCCTTCCCAATGAGTACTGAAAACCAGATGATTGTATTCGCCATGAGTTGGAGGCCTGGAGCAAGGTCTAAATTCTCTGCAGCGGAATTCAGTAACCCAATAACTGAGCAGAGGGAGTACAGGTTTCACCATGTAGATGTGTGACTTGGCCAAAGGGAAGTGACAGACTGCCAAGAAAGTGGGTGACAGGAGCACATCTTGCAGTGAATATCCTGGGAAGGGAAGGGGAGGGATGAAAAGAGAGGCCCTGGGGCACTGAAGGCTAGAGTAAAGAAATGGTGGGCATGAGTTGTCGAGAAGTATGAAAGGATCTGAAATTCGACCCAATGCCTTAAGTCACTCAGTGACCTATCATTTGTTCTATGAGGACTCATTTGCAATTTTTATTACAAAAGAGATAAGCATCCTAAAGGCCAGCATTAGAGGACTGATTCCAGCGCAATCAGACCATAACTCAGAACAATACCCTAATGTATGGGTCAAGGCAGAGTTTGGTCTGCAACTCAGTGGCAGGATGGATACAAAACAAACGTGGAAGTACCTGAGGTCAGTCAGAAAATAGCCCTGGATAGTCAGAAAACTAGAAATCTACAAAACTTAAGGCTCTCATAAAAGGGGCCAACTCAGAAATTCAGGAAGACATTTTGCAATAGACACAGGAGACCAGGGAGGATTCTGTCCTCCCAAGAGTGTGTAGTTCCCCAAGAACAGGCCCATTCAGGATTCCTGTCTTCTAGGATCTTGAGGTCTAAATCTATATTGTCCCTGTTTGATTATTATCTGCCCCAATGGGTGAAACCAGAAACTCTTTTCCTCCACAACATTGCCTAAGACAGGCCATGTTTCATTTGCTAATAATGATGCAGTTTCTTCCTCCCTAAGATTATGTAAATTATGTAAATTTCCCTCTAACAATAATTCAAAGAAAAGCAAAAGCTTCCTTTTTTTTTTTTACTACATTCTAAATTAGAGATTGATCAGACAAAAGTGAGGTTCACCTTTAGATAAACAGCCCATCACAAATGCAGCACTGACTGTATGTCCATCTCCCTGCAGGGATATTTAGGCCAATTTCAGAGGCTGCAAATCAATGACCTCAGCGGCAATGCTGAGCCAATCACTGAGAGAATCATGGTGTCTCTCTACTTCCACAATTGGGGAGCTCACCATCCTGGGACCAATGAAACCCATCACAGCATCCCTGATCCCTGACTGTTCTATACATCTGCATTTCTCAAATGATGGTGCTGGGAAGTTCAACTTCTCCTCCCAGTCCCAACCTTCCGAACACACCTAGACAGATATGGTCGTTAGTTACATGCTCAGGGGTTCTGGTCCCTTCTATGAATACCCAAAGAGGGGCATGGAAAGAAAGCTTGGCCATTTTAGATTGGCAATTGTAAAATGTCAATTTGAGAACTGGTTTTCCTGCCAGCACCTTCTGCAGTGACAGATTGGGTGTGGCAATGAGAAGAAATTGACTTGGAGATGCAGAATGCCTCGCAAATATAAGATCAAAAGTAAATATTTTTCAAAACCCAGGTCTGAGTCTGTGCCATCTTAGTAAAACAGAACTTTTGAGGGGCTTGTCCCAGCACCGGGGGAATTTCCCCCATCTCTCTGGGTTCTTCTCAGGCTGGAGAAGCAAATAAATTAGACAAACGAGGAGGAGAATGACCCACATGTGGAGAATCACAAAGGAGACTGCCTGAGAGTTTATACATCCTGAGCTGAGGAATGAGATGGGGGCCTGGTGCATAGGGGAGAAAGGGGGGGTCTCAAATGATAAGGAGATGACTTTGATGTCATTTTTGGAGTCTGTGGGTTTGGAGGGCGGGGTCCTTGGGTCCACCCTGGGAAAGGCGTCGCCAGAGCTCCCGTTTCAGCAACAGGCAGCGAGTTTCCCAGGCGAGTTTCTCCACGAGACGAGATGGTAGCTGTATTTTAAAAGAGCAGATTTTATTAGAGAAAAGAACAGAAGAATAATGGACACTTGCTTAGACACAAGCAAGCAGAAAGGGTTAACCTGAAAGGGGCAGGTTTTTATGTCACAGGCGGGCTGCTTTGAGGAGAGCAGCCTCCCCTGAGGGAGGTCAGTGAGGAGAAGTCCCGGCAGGTGCAGGTCACCAGCCGCCAGGAAGGCTGCTGCCCTGCAGAGGGAGAGAATTGGTGAAAAGAAGCAACTGCATAGTCACAGGTGAGCAGGACTGCTGCCTGAGGTCAGTGCAGGGACTGTACTGATACAGCCTCCTTCTTATGAGTGGTTGGATTGTTGCTGATGTGGGACAGCTGTGCAGAATCAGAAAGAGACCAGAGATGCCACAATGGGCCCAATCTCCTTATCTTTCCCCTCAGGTCTGTGCTCTGACACTCCCTCCAGCAGTCTGGTACCTGCTTGGGCCTTGTGCCTTGTGATAATCACTGATGCCTAAGGATCTTGATTTCCATAGCTGGGTTAATGGCCATGTTCATTCCCTCTACCCCCACCTCCTTGTGTGAGTCAGGTTTTAGTCTTGAGATGTCTCCTTTAGGTTTTCTATTCTTTCCTCCATCAGCTGCATGTGGTAAAATGAGGCTGCTCCAATAAGAAGGTTATTTCTGGAGATGACCCTGTGTCTAAATAATCTCTGTCCTTTAAGTCACTGGTCATAATCTCCCTGAGGACTTCAATGTCATTAGCTCCACGTGTCAAAATGATGCACTTGGGGGATAGGTGCTTTTGGGAGAGGCACTTTCTTCAGGCTCAATACACATCAGTATGGGGTTTCTTGGAACACTCACCTCCTTTATATGTGGAGATATAAACTGTGGGAGGAGGGAAAGACTCCGTCTTCTCTCCATTCTTCTAAGTTGGTAAGTACTCAAGTCAACATCAGACCGATAGACAAGAGAAAAAGCGAAATAAGCTCAATAACGACACATATAACGGCAGGCACACGGGAGAGACCCAGTGAAGATGAGTGACTTCACCAAGATGGCTTAAGTCACCTCCTTAAATATTTTCCAGCTAAAGACAAAGGATGTTGGGGGTTGGGATCTGTGACTTGAAAGGAAGGAAGACAATTAGGGGAAAGCAAATTTGCAAACAAATGTGTATAGGGCCAGGTAGAAGCCAAAAAACACAGCAAGATGCTTTAACAAACTTTCTGAGTTTCCCCCAGTTTACCACATTCAGTGCAAATTCTTTAGTGCTATCAATGAAAACATCTTTCCCTTCCTGCAATACGGAAGGAGACACCCGTACAACAGAGATTTGCCCTGTCATGTCAATATCTCTTACAGAGGGGCAACCCCCATCCAGCTTTCAGAGCCCCTCCATGCAATAATCATTATGCCTAAGAGACATATGTGGGGTGGTAAAGCCAAACATGAAGAAAAATGTCCCTCTGACCTGGAATCCATTTGCATTTTACAACTGATGAAATAGCTCAAATTCTAATAATGTTGCTAAGGACAGGATGGCCATGATTTGGTTTCCAAGCAAAGTTAGAAGATGCTACAGTTAATGATGATGGTGATGATGATGGTGGTGGACATGGTGGTGGTGGTGATGACAATGATGGTGATGAATGTTGGTGATATCATGTTGATGACCAAGAAAATAGCAACTAACATCAATCTATTTTAAAACAGGCCCAAGCACGCCACAGTAGAAAAACCACTTATTGTACTGGGCCAAAGGGCAATTGTTTCAAGCCTTGTTTGAGAACTCAACTGAATAGACATTCTCATCACAAGGACTGACTGATGATTGAATACTTTTGCCAGACAATAGAATCAGTGACACATT